ACTACTTTAGATTATGCAGAGATTTTTAGGATTATGCAGAGAAGTTCAAAATTTCTAATTATATATTTAAAATAAAGAAGTATTTTTAAAATGTCCTCTATTCTTTAAAATCTTTTTTTTTTAACCCTTCAAGTGTTAGAGGCTGTTGAAATATTACAGAGGAGTATTTTTGACCCGTTTGGACTCACTAACAATTAAATAAACTCTTGCTTAGATATAAGAGAGTCCATTCTCTACTGTTTTTTGCCATACATTTCAAGAATTTTAAGGATTAAATTCAAATGAAAGACGTAGCTTTAAAAGACGTTTTGAGTTTTTATATATTTCATAAAATTTAGAAACTTCTTGAAGAAATTCGTTTCCAAATTTTTCTTTCCTCAAATTTAACTATTAATCTTTAGTTTCAAAATTTAAATTTTTTCAAATGTCATTTCTCTAAATATTTTTTTAAAAGAATATTTTATTTTTGTTTGCATTTTAAAAAATTGAAAATAAGAAGTTCTATTATATTACATAAAGTATTGTTTATTCTCCTACTCATCACTTCACTTGAAAGTATTGATTTTTAAATACACCATCAATGCTTTCATTTTTAATCAATGCTATATATATATTATTATTGAAGGCAAAATGTATATTCCAGGATGATAGAAAGGAAGATTTCATGTAATAGCGAGAAACTTTCAACGTCCCCTGTGGAAATGGAGCGAAGGATATGTGAACAATCCTGAACAAGGTTGCTATTGGGCGACAAAAATATTTATTTAGAAATCTTTATGTGCATTTTTTAACTATAAATATTTCATAAATTTGATGATATTTCTCTTTTAAGTGAATACTTTTTCTTTTTGAGACATTTTGCTGGAAAAGCAGCAGTTTTTACATTTAAAATATATTTAATTAGCTAGAGTAACGAAAAGTATAATAGCATATTATAAAGCAAAGTAAGTGACTGAAAAAGAATTGAGTTTGCGTCGGGCAAGCATTAAGGGTTGTCTCAATTTCAAGCGCGGAGACGTTTTTTCTTTCCAGCGCTGAAATGAACTCAGCGTCCGAGGAGGTGCATGCTCCTCCTCGGGCATGCCTATGCATGCTATTGATGTCAATAGCATCAATAGCATGCCTATGCATGCTATTGATGTCGCTATTGATGCATGCTATTGATGTCGGGAATATCATTTCAATAGTATGTTGCTATTAGTCCTTTTTCATATAGGAATATTTCCTTGAAATTTGCTGCAGATCAAGAGGCGGCTCTTTCATAGAATTTTATATTTAATCTAGCTATATGGTTGTCTATTGCATCGATTTTGAGGTGTATCTATTGTATTGAGGTGTATATATTGCATCGATTGTGCCGTTTCATACGTACCTTCTGGTTTTTGCTATTCTTCTTAGTATTTTATTCTGGCAGACTATTCAATTGTTTAGCCGAATTTGTGTTATATTTGTCAAGACATATGTAAAAATGGGACGGATAAATAGAATAATCTTTTGAGTTACTGTATTTGATTGATAGAGTATTACAAGGAGTTTGCTGCTAGTGCTTTACTGGTTATGCTTTTGATGTGATCGTTCCAGCTGAATTTGCTATAAAGGATGAGTCTAAGATATTTGAAATTTATGTCTATTGCAGCAGAAGTTTTATGATAGAAAATGTTTTAAATGTAAAAATGTGCAGTTTTGAGTGAGAGAGGAACAGCTTAAAGAAGAAATATTCGATAGTTCTTCTTTATGCTACACACAGTAGCATAAGGAAAGGGCGTGCATAACCAAAAACAACTTAAAAAACAGAAGTTGTGCGTGTAGACGACAATGAAAAAGATTTCCATGGGCTTTAGTGTGAGCATGGATGGTGGTTCAAAACAATATCTTTGTTGAGATCCTCATTTCGTCATTGAAATAAGTTATTTTCAGGCAAATGCGAGTGAATACTTTTGTTCTTACAGTCTGATTCTTCTATAGTGAACCATCTACCGATGAAGCAATAAGTCAATTCTAAACAGCGGTTCACCATTTTCTTAGCATATTGCAATATTATTGTTAAAAATAACAATTAAAATAATACATATTTTGCTTTATAATTTTTTTAACTAGTCAGACATTTAGACTCTCTCTACAACAAACTTTCTCTACAGTGAATTGGCACGTTAATTTAAATCGGAATAATAAATTACATTAAAAATATTCTCCACATTTGCCTACCCACAAAAAATTTATTTCGATGTTTTCAATTTTTATCAATTTGGAGCTTCAGAATTTTTGCTGTTGTTATTTATGGAAAAAATTGTATTTAAAAGTAGGAATTTCTTTGCACTTTTTAATGTGCCAGTTCTCGAAATAACTCGAATTATGACTCCTTTTGAACACTTTTTTGAAATGTACAATTATTAATTTTTAAGGAAAAGTCATTATTATACAATTTTGAACTCATCACATAGACTTAAATTCTTTTTTTACATTTATTTAAATACTTGTAAACAGGAAATTTAAATCCACTCTATGCGAACAAGCAAGTACTCTTCTGCTCATTATATGTGTATTAAAAAATATTAATTAATCAGCAGCTCTGTCGATATTAAAAACATTCACAACCGAATAACCACTATATCTCGGGTTCATTATAATGAGGTTTAAATGGACAAAGAGCAAAAGAAAAAAAACAGACCACTCTGAATAATTTCTCATCTAATGGCTGGAAAAAAAAAGTTTAAATTTTAATTAAACATATTTTACACCTGTACAACATTTTGTAAAATCAAGAATATCTTTCCAAGTATTTTGAGTTTTTAAAAGCATTCACAGGAAACTTAATTGAAACATTTGACTTGTCAAGGAATCGAAAAATAATTAAAATAAAGTGTTGCATCACCTTAAAAAATAATCAGTGTTCCTCTTAAAATGTCCGATTTTATTTCAACTTTACACTTACGATAAGGTTAACCATCTTCAATTTTACAGTCATTATTCACGATTTTTTTCGTGTATTTCAATCTAACGATTGATCTCACGATTTCATTTAAAAAAGGATAACTTCACACACAAAAGGATAATTTTACATTAACGGGAAATTTCACCAAGAAACAAATAATTTAAGCTAAAACGAGTTTAAAAAAATAGCTCTTTTTATCGTAAAATTTTGTATTAATCTCTTATGACCCCTTTTCTCTTTAAGCGAATGTATTATGAATTATATTAGCCAAAAGCAAGCTTCTGATATTGGAGAAAAAAATTAAAGAGTAGTTTTTCTTTTAGAAACAATAAAAAATAATATAACGTAAATAAGCGAAGCAGGAAAGAAAATGTAGCCAAAACATCGGTAGTACGTGTTAGAGCTAAAAAATTGAAAAAGTATTCCATATAATTATTACTTTGCGGTTACGTTGTTTTCTAAGTTACTAATAAGCATTTATAAGATAAGCTTAAAAGCATAAAAGTGGATTTTAGAATGGATAAAAATGGAATAATCTGGTATTATGTCTTAAGCAAATGAAGCACGCGCTAGTAGTTTATTTTTTGATGTGAATAAAAAAATGGAATACCTGCAAGTGACGTCGTGCCATAATCTCGATCCTGATTGACTGTTAAAACGTGGCATTTGTTTACGTTAGCAACTGTTCTTTTCATTCTATTTTGAGTAAGTCAAGATCGTCAAATATCAATTCCCTAAAGTGACACATTCTACATTCTTTCACAAAGATTCTTTCTTAAGAAATACATAAATGATAAATTTAAGAGATACATAAATTTATCATTTATGTTAAGGGAAAGAAATAGAAGAATTATATTTCAACACATTCGATGTGCGATACGGCTTTGTATTTAATTAACTTATCTTTAATTAACAATCTAACCTATCTAGTAGAGGAACTTTACTCAACTTTAATACGCCATTATTAAGACAAAAATCACCATGCAACGCTTGCTCTACAAATATTGCTGCTCGATGGAGCTTGGATACTTAATGTTTTAGTACTATCCTATATAAGGACACCCTGTTTTTTGAGATTTGACAGAGTTGTTGGCATTCCTATTTGTTCGAGATAACACTGCAGTGCCTTTGAGTTTGGAAACTTCGCCAGGCTTTTAATGATTTATATTAGCCACATGTAAGGTAGATAATAAACATTTTAATAATTATGTTCTAATTTTAAAAAGAAAGTTTTTATTAAGATCATTTTTCCTTCTACAGTGGCACAAAAAGAATTAGGAAATCATAAAAATACTTCAAACGCAGTTTGGAATCCGTTTGAATCTTAACTACCAAGGAATAAAAATTGAGATGAATGAAACCAATTGTGGTGTATAATAGATTTCTTACTATAGTAAAGTTCCATCGTGTTAAACCTTGAGAAAATACAATAGGTACCTCAGTTGTAAGAAACGGCAGTGTTTTAGTAAAGAGAGACTATTGGGGATTTAAAACTATTGCCATATACTTTACAAACATGTCTTAGGAGAGAAAATCTAGCAAAACTTCAACACTTTTTTAGTTAAATGTTTAATTAAACTTCCAGAGACCCAATATATTGCGTCATCAATTAATAAATAAGAAATATTTTATGTTTGTATGTCTTTACCGAGAGATTGTCTACGTAAAAACATAATTGGATTTATCCTCTTTGATCGAAGTTTTTAACGGCAATGAAAATTATTAGAAAGATTAGACATTCGATTCAAGTATACTTTCAAACAGTTTTATGGCATATAGATATCTTATTGAGTCTAATGGATTTTTGTTTCATTCCAGGATGTAAACACACTAAAAACATCAGAAAATATGCTAAATTAAAAAAAAATTTACGTAATAAAATAAAAAGTTCAATTCATTTTTAAATTTCTTTTTCTCGAAATTATAAGTTTAATTTCGGTTATATATTTCTATAAATAAAAAATCTTATTTTTCTGCCGTTGTTCAAATCTCTGGGTTCAGGAGGTAATAGTTAAAACTAACGTACTTTTAATTGGCAGCAGCTTAGAAAAAAAAATCTCAACAAATATTGTAAATGATCAAACAATCTTTATTTTAATAAAATGAGTCAGGTGAGAAAATATCACAGTGTTAAGCATAGGATTTGTACAAGTCCAGATTTACACGAAGTTGAATTCAGTTGTCAATAAATAAGCACTTTTTCAGTACCTGAAACAAAATTCTATTACTATGACGTCATTTTTAATCACATTTCATTATAACACTGACACAAGGTTAAAAATTACCCTGAATAACTTACTGATCAGATTGGCGCGTAATAAATAAGCAATCTTCATGATTCGGAAGCATTAACCTCGAATAAGCTTAATTTAGAACATTGATTTATGGATATAAAATAAGAAAACAATATCAGAACATTAAAAAAGTAAACCTCGGACTAACTCGAGTATATTCATAGAAAGACGCAAAAAATTGCACGACCTTACGCATTGGAGTGCAGGGCTAAAGAGAATAGCCTATTCTCTTTAGCCCTGATTGGAGTGGGCCTTACGCATTGGTTTTAATTCCTAGAACAGATAAAATACCTTCATCAAATGCATAACACTATATAAGATTTTTAATCCATTTATCTCTGACGAACAAAAGCTTATTGATAATTTAACTTAAAGGTAATCAAAATTTTCGGAGCTGTTAGAATTACGTGTATTTAGAGAAAACTTGCTTCATGTAACCAAAACCAAACAAATGCAACACAGTGATCTTTGCTATCAAAAGTTATTTAAAAATTTGAAATAAAATTTATTAAAGATTTCAGTATGCTGCTAAATTTTAAATATTTTTTTAATGTTTTTAATACTTTTATATAAAAGACCAAAATACACTTATTCGGAATATAAATAAAATATTTTCAGAAAATTTAAACTGAAATTTATTCTGACAACACAACAAGAGTAACAGCTTATTTAGAAAAACCACTCAAAAATCTGAAAAATCACCAGTGAGGCTGTATTATAAGTATAAAAACTCAAAATTATCGTCTGGTGAAATTTAAGTAGTGAATTTCATCTTTATGAAGAGTCAGATTTTTGATTTAAGATTTTTCACTTCTCTCCTTTATATAATTGTGTTCTTTTTTCAGCGTGCATGTTACAGTTCATTACCGTCAAAAACCATTCCTATGGCTAGCTTATTTGCCTATTAAAAGGGGTGGACCCAATAAAGAGTAGAATCAAGTGTTCTTAGCATTTTACAAAGTATCGTTTATAGTTTTATAAGTTTTTCATTTTATGGCTGCTTTCATTTTTCACAATTTGTTGCAGGCAATAGTGTCGAGTAGTAGTAGTAGTAGTAGTAGTGAATGCACACATACTATCAAGCTAATCTGCAATTGATTCGTTAGAGTTTGGAAAGTATAGTTTTCCCCATTTTACTTGGGTAACGTGTCACATGACCGGTCACATTTAAAGATTTTAAAATACGAAAGACACTTCTGTCCATTTCCATTCATTTCAATAAGATTTATTAAACCGTTTGACTTTCTTCATGTATTTTTTTATGTGGTTCATAATATATTTTATCAAATACTTTATTAACTCGATTGTATAGATATCGAAAAACATTATAAGAAGTGAACAGAAAAGTTTCTTTTCTGCAGAAATCTTATTTTAACTTTAACGAATAATGAGTAGATCATCTGGAAGATTATCAGATTATCTTAAGTAATTAGATATGAGTAATTTGAAATAATTTTTGGCACTTCATCCTGAGTTTTAATTACCCTATGAAACTTTATTTTTTTATACTAGCACATGATGAAATGGATACTTGAAAGTTTTGATACTTACGAGTCTCTAACCATACATTTCTTGAGATGCATAAGTAGCATAAAGGAATCCGTCGTCGTCTTTATACTGGCAATAGACTTCTGCCATAGTCCTAGACATAGACACGACCGTGTGGTTTTTCAACATCAGGTAGAAAGTCTGAGTAGACTTCACGTCCAGTCGACTCCTTATGAAATGAAACAAATTTAAACACTTTATGGGCGCTATTATCCAAAAACAAAAGTATTTAGGTACCCTAAGCTTATGTGTCCATAATAAAAAATTATTTTTTAAAGTATTTAAGCGTATTTTATACCGTTTCTCTTCAAGCCATTTTTTTTTACAAGTGTAATATGGGATTGTTATACACAACGCTGATAATTTTTTCCATAAACATTGTTTAGGATAATTTAATATCCTGAAATCCTGATAAACATCCTGATAATTTAATGTCCAATAAAAAAAAGTTATACAAGTCTTAATTTTTACTTAAATCGAAAAGAATATTCTACAATGGGTGAGTATTTAATGAATATAACAAATATAAATAGAATTCAAAATGAGCTGTTGTATAAATTGTTCTAATTCGTCGTAAAGGTGTTCTATGGGATTTAAATCGAGGATTTAGTAAAAGTTGGTTCAGTTTTTAAATACCCATTTCCTCAAACCATGGCTGAGTAGATCTGGAAGTGTGAAATGGAGCAGTTATACCTGCTGGAAGGGGAATTTCCCGAAATATTGCCATAGAGTTGTGAGAGCACGATTGCTCAGAATGTCAATCTCAGTTTAGGTTTTCAACCCCAGGAACTTAGGGACGAATCATTCTCCCTTAGTTCATTAAGTTCTTGTGGCCACTTGAGACATCCCAACACAGTGACGCCTCAGCTGGTGTCTGAATACTTTAGTCCGGATAGAAAACGATAAAATGCATCAAACAACTCACCTCACTCTGCAGATGAATTGGGATACAGTCATGTCGTGAGGGGCGAGGAATTTCACTCTATCCAAGTGAGGAAGAAGTCTTTCTTCATCAGACCGCTCCACCACAACCTTCAAAAAGTAGAAAAAACAGGCGTCATTCAAAGGAAGAAAAAAAGTTATTACAGTCTTAGTTAGAGAAATTTTTTTTTAAAAGTAATGCTAGTTTTGCATAACTTTAAACAATAAATAAAATTTTGAGTAGAATAACCTTCAAGAAGATTTTTCTTCTGTGACTAAACTCGTGAGAAATTTCAAACGTCGTTTTGAAGAAATTTTTTCCGGCTTTTTTTCTATCCATATTCAAGTATTTCAAATTTGTAATTTCTTCCCTCCACTATTCAACACTTTTTGTTTTATTTTTCTTTTCAAAATGAGACTAATGTCTTATGAAAGCATTATTTATACCCTTCAATTCCATATCAGTGAAAATAAGCAAATAACAAATCCACGTAAGCACTAATAAGGGAATAATATATTTGAACTACCCCTAATTGAAGTACTAAATTGAAGTACTAATATTGAAGGTACTATTGAAACTTTAGACACAAAATTTTATTATTTGATTTCATTCAATAAAAAGTTGAACGTTAAGAGGCTCTTAGAACGCCAAGAACGCATAAAATATTCTAATTTTGAGTCAATCTAACTTACCGGTACTTTCCGAGGAAACTTGATCTTTATGTCTGCTGATTCTGCTTTTCTCATGGCTGTAAAAAAAAAAAATACTTCATCTAAATGTTAAGGATTTTACTCACTTTTTTTAAACCTGTTTAGGTCCGGCGAAAGGAAGAAATGAGTGCTTTCCCAGACCAGTACTTTCTGATAGCACGGGACAGTAATTTTTTCCGATTAAGCTTAATTCTTGTAAAAATTTATATATAATTATTGCTGCAAAATGCATTCAAATGTACAATTTATTATCATTGATAACACCTGAATAAAATGGTCTCAATATTTAAGAAAAATTTGAATTATTGAATCTTTAATTGTATAAATTTATTAATTTTAAATATCTGTCAAGTGTATTAATTTTTAGTATTTAATTTCTATTCACTTCTCTCTCGTTCGAAATGATTTTAGTTAATCAAACATAACGTATCACAGGGAAAATACTAATTTCATTTTAAGAGATTGTATAAATGCATCCGAAAATAATAGTTCTTACTTATTACATTGTATCTTAGAAATAACTTTACTGACTTTGTGTATCATATCTTACAGTAATTACAAAATTTAGAATTCATAAATAAAATTGTGCATAGTTTTACGAGACAATTAGAAGTAAGACTTACTAATTTGCATGTAAACACAAATTCTTAAACTAAAATTAGTTTGTTAAACATGGTGTAGCACAGAGAGAACATCAAAATGAATTCGAACTAGGCTTATAATTGAAGCAGATAGAAATTATACAATATATAATCCTTTTTTAAAAAAATATAATCATTTTATTTAAAAATGAAGACATAGTTACCCTTATTACATAAATGAAAACATACATATTTTAAGAGGGAATTTTTGATTCTATCGATGTATAACAGCCTACTCACGGTAACTCTTACTAGATTGTAAACTAGTGATATTAAAAGTGCACCAAGCGTTTTCGAAGGTGAAAATATAATTCGAGTAGGGTGGTAAGGGTCATGAGATGGGTGTAAGCTTTTTTACACTTCAAGTGTTCAGATTTCACCCTTTAAACTGAATGCGAACTCTATTTGGTATTAACCCTGTATAAAAAAGTTCATTCACAAAGTTTTTAGTTATTCAACATATTCAGCACTAAACGCTGATGTATTTTGCTACTCTCTGCATTCTTTTCAAATTGTTTATATTGACATGATTTTTTTTCAATGAAAACTAGATCTTTGTTTTTTCTAAACATGATTTAGAGTAGATTTAGACCGAGCAAAATCTCTCTTTTACTAAATTTATGTATTCTTCACATTAACAATGACCACTCTTATTCCCGTTAGTGACTGCGATTGTCTGGAATACATTTATTCATAACTGTGTGTGAACACGAATTTACGTAACTAAATTAGAATAAATGAATAATAATGTTATTTTAATCATTTCAGTTTATTTGTATAAATTTTTAAAAATACGTGTGAAAATCCTATGATTAGAATAAAAGTGTATCAAGGTGTAAACTTTTTTGAACACTGCACCTTTTTTCTTCCTATTTATGATGATAGCTCACATATTTGAGATTGTTAAAAAAATTGAAGAATTAAACTTTTGTTAGTTAAGAAATTTGACTATAAAAACCGATAGAAACTTAGTACTGATTCATAAAAACTTTAACTCATGTTTTAAAAAGTACACTATCACAAGGGAAAGCTGGTAAAAAAGTTAAAATCAGAATTTTCTGGAAAAAACCAACTTTAATTACTATTTTATAGTGGGTTTTACGTCTAGCTATACGACACGAGAACCAGAATTGGCTAAACTGCACCAAATGGAATGATTCTCAGGGAAATGAAATAAAACAGTTTTAAGCTAAAGTATCGCAAATACGTAATGCAAGAGAAAAAAAAATGGGATAAATGGTCATGAAAACAGGTTTATTTAAAGATAAACTCGGATTTTAAAGGGAAATTCTTGTTAGCAACATGAAGAAACCTCAATTATAAAATGCTATGATTTTGAAAAATTTTTATTTATAAAATTCATTATTAAAAATTATAGAATGTGAAAAAAGTTCGAATTTGTTTTGAAACGTTTTTTTCTAAGATGACAAGATATTTAACAAATTTTTACCTGTTAATTAATTACATTGTTAAATGGCACAACCGGAAAATTAGATTTGAAAGAAAACATCGGATGCTTAATTGGCCATAAAAATGTTTTCAGAAAGAGCCATAGTAAAATTATCTTTTGAATAAAAGTCTGTAGAAGATGTTTTCACACTGTTGAAAAGGTTTAAACCCGCTGTCGTCCTCAAAATATTTAAAAAAAAATGCTGCTTTATTTTAAAAAACTAATCATAAGTCAAAATGATTTAAAGCTCAGTAGTCAACAGGAAAACATATTTTCTCTTCTCTGTCATGTCAAGTTACATGTACCATAAGTAATAAGCTTAATTAACTTACAATCTGGAAAATGTATAAATAACACTGGTACATAATTCGCATAGAAGTTACTTTCCCTTTGGGTTTGGATACATTAACGCTATTACAAATATTGAAAAGTGTGAAATTTTTAACGTGTCTATTGAAGTTTGGATTTCAAAAGCCGCTAAATTTAATTTTAATTTTATTGCAAATCTATGATTAATCAACATGCTACAGTGATAATACAATCAAAAACATTTTCTCTCGAAAAAAAATCTTCTTAAATTCGGATTTTAAACTTAGTGAAATACTTCAAATTTAAAATAATAAAATCTTTTAATATTTTTAATATAATTTTTCACATAGTTTTTTGAAGAAATAATTTGAAAACAAAATAGGCAGCAACTGCAGGATTTTTTTTAATTATTTAGCCAATATTAACAGAATATTTAGCCAATATTAACAGATTAAAATTGAAATTCTTAATGTACTATGCGTCAAATGTACTATACACAAAACTGTTCAGGTACTATGCGCAAGATAAAAAGACTGAATTTCATAACAGCTTTTGATTTAATTATTTGATTTTCACAATTCAAGATGCTATCTTAATGATTTTAGAATTAAAAAGGACGACTTAAAAGTAAACTTAAATTTGTACAGATAATATTTTTAAGTAACAAAATCAGATAAAAGCGTACATTCTTCGAATAAACATGCATTTTTTTGACATATTCCAAATTTTTACCCTCAAAATATGGGTGGCACACAGCAGTCAGTAAAATATGGTTTCAATAATGCAGGCAGAAGAACAGTTAAGGCCCCTTAATATTAATTTCACACAAAATAATGTGAAAAAGTCTTTTTTTTTAATTTAGTTTATCAAGAATTGACTAATCACGTACAAGTTTCGAATATTGTCAATTGAAATTACATGGTTTAAAATGATGCATAAATTTGTATATCTTGTAATTCAAATTTTTTTAAACCATTATTAAAAATTTTTTTAATGTGAAATTGTGTTTGCATAAACGGGTTTTATAATTTTGGAACAAAATTTAATTATTTCAAACAATTCCAGAGATATGGTAAAATACGTAAAATATTAAACTCATTTTTCACCGCTCTGCCTAAACTATTTGAACCCTATATTTCACATTACGGCTACCCTGATATTGGATGTCAAATCAGTAGAGAAAAAGCATGCATGTTAACTACGTGCAACTTAAAATATTATCTGCACTAATATTTTAGCATATTTAAGGTTAGTGTCAGTTAGATTGCAGTTTAAAACTTGAGAATCCACTCAATTCAAAAGTTAATAGGTATTCCCTTTTTCTTACACACTAGTCATAAAACATAATTATACGGTTTTTTCAAATTTTCTTAAATACCTCAAGAGAAGCTTACTAAATTTTGCAATACTCAAAAAAACAAACAAATTTTGAAAAAACAATTTGGATAAAAATTGCAAATATATTTTATTTAGGCAAGAAATGTCACAATTAAAAATTTGTGTTCCCCTGCATGGCTAACAATTTATGCATAGTTAACATATCATTATTATTAGAAATTTCTTAATTAAAATTTAAAAAAAATAGCTCGAAATTTTAATGCAAGTTAATAAAAGTGAATACTTGCCTAAGGAACGTCTGTCTTTGAAAGTTTTCCGTTGCCCATCGCTTTTAGGAGGCATTCGTAAAGTCAAATTTACAATTTTTGGCAAAGAGAACTTCACTTTAGCATGGTCGCAATGAGTGCATGTATGTTGTGGGATAGCAAACATCTTTAGAGAATGCAATGATTTCAAACAATTTTTTTTAATAACTTACACCACGAATGCAAAACTAATTAATTTAAATTGATAATTAACTTTCAAATAACGTCGAACATTTCCAAATCAGAAAAAGACCCGTAAATGTAATCTTTAGGATTAGTACGATAAAAACCAATGAAATGCATTCGGCAAAAAATTTGTTAAGAACCTCAGACGAAACTACTAGCAGATGAATTCTAAATCGTTTGCTTTGAAATCGCCTCTATTTCTGCGAAACTATTGAAAATGATTCTGCAGTCGATTATGCATTTTCAACCAATCAGAAAGGAAGAACTTTGTACGTAAGCAGACACGTGTGAGATCAAGGTAACATGTTTCCATCAAGCTCGAATTTCGAGAAATATTTTGATCGGCAAAAAAGATATTTTCGAGATAAATAAATTTGTCACCATGACACATTTAATTGAATTTTAGCTTGTACGACTTTATGCCCCTTTTTTATTTATTTACTTATGAAATTTTATTAAGATAATTTATTTTATTGTAGGTAAATCCTAAAATCATTTATTCTGAATCCAGATAAAATACATGCTGAAAGAAATGCTTAAACATGTAACTTACGATGTTCAAATAAAGACTTACTACCGATCTTTGTATGAAAGTGAGCTGTCACAAAATAATAATAATAATAATAATAATAATAATTATTTGAAAAATAAAATTTATTTGAAAGGAATCACAGCACAAAAATTGTCTCTATTTCAATAAATATACAATGAAAATAAAGCTGTCACACATTTATCGTTGGAAATACTTTTTTTAAGCCATAAAATATATTCTGTATAGTTTATAAAATTTACCACACACGTAAAGTAAATTAAATTTATAGCATAATTGAGAGTGAATTTCTAACATTAATGCATTCAGATAAAGCATTCATATTTTTCAACGAAGCATCAGTTTGGTTCAATTAGTAAGCATAAAAGAAAATTAAATATCATAAGGTGTCACAAACTAATCTCTTAATTTCAATTGTATATTTTATTTGGCTTCCACCTCTGCAAACTTGAACATAATATTTTTGAAGATTTTAACCTTTAACTGAAATAATAAATTTCGGAATACTGGCACAGAAAAATCCTATCTATCTTGTGTTTGAACGGGATGAGGCTCATAATAGTGAGTCCAAACTCTTTTCTAAATATAGGAATAAGGTGGGTTTTAACAATTAAAGAAAAATCATACGGCTATCTGGCTTATGCTCCGACAGAAAGAGCCAAAATTAATCAGCCGTAACCGGAGAAAGTTTTGATTAATGATCAATACCGTCTTCAGTGATAAATTCTGTTTTTACGCCAGACGAGAAACGTTTGAAACTTGTATAGTGATCTCGCACTGAGCTCCAGATGATATTTGAGCACTCTAATTAGCCAGAAGTGGCTACAATTTTGATGTACGATAAATTGGGACGAAAGAATAAATTTTGCCTGATGCGGTCAGAAAGCGAATGAAATTTGTACAGCCATAAGGTACGAAGCTCAACAGAAGAAACTTAAGTGCTCTAGCTAATAGGAAAATGATGGAAATTTTTATTGCAAGATTAAATCCTCCCAGACACGAATAGATAATAAAAACGTAGTGAAGTAATTATATTTTTTTTAAAAAAAATTGCTTGTTCAGCATATTAAAATATAATAGCTTTTAATGTGATACAACGGATTTCAAGAAAAGGAAAATCAGTTTTTTTGCTTCATTACTCATATTTAAAGATCAAAATGTAATGTTCAAGAAATATATCGAAACTTTTATCAATCTATACACATAAAAATGAATGCTTGTCTGTCTGTTTTTTTTATAGATTCGTTAACCATCCGACCGAGATGGATAAAACTTGTCATACTGATAGTTCGAGGCACGGGAAAGGTCATTCTCGATATTAGAACCTTCTACTACGAACCGTTCGAGCTAGATGAGCAAAAATCGAATTGGAATTTTATAATTGGTTAAGCGTTAACCATTGTTTTAAACTATAGACGATTCTATTTTTTCAAATATTTTAAAGAAAGCATGCGCAATATTTGTTAGCTTACAGCTTTGTTTGATAAAAAAAAGAGTTTGCTGCACGTCTTTAATAATTAATTATTTTTTATTATTTTGAAGTCAACGAATAATGTTAACGTAGCAACATTTGGCACTACGTACCCAAATTAGTATTCCTAAAGTTATCCGAAACCACGAGTTTAATTTGCTTATAGTAATTCCTTGAAAACGTGTATCTAGAAAAGTAAATAATTTAAATCCATGAAGTAGTTTAATGAAATTTAAAAAAAATAGTTATGTGTTGAAAGGCAAAACTAACGGAAAAGTGCAACAAGATTTGTTTAGCAGAAACGTAACAGAAATCGCTGTATTATTGTTGACACCAATAACATTTAAGTAATTTATGTTCTAAATGTAATTACTAAATGCATATTGAAATAAAAGAAATAAGCTATGCACTAAAAAGAAAAATTAATGGAGTAAAGATTTAGAGGAACCGTAAAAAATATCCATATTATTATTGACCCGAATTCTTAATTAATATTGGTAATATGCATTAATTAAATTGAAAAAATTGCCTACGTACTGAAAAGCAAAGTAAATGGATAGCAAGGGTTTAGGGGAACTGAAGAAAATGACCATACACAGTTAAGAGGCTTAATTAATTTTGGTATTATGTACAACTGGTAATATGGTAATTGGTGCGGTTTTAATAAGAATTCTACAAAAGAAATTCTGTAGTTTCAGAAAATATTTTTTTTTTCAGTGGTAAAGATAATGCATTAAAACCTTGATGAATTAGATAAAACGAACTTTTTTCCAACAAAAATTAAAAATATTTTAAACAATATATTAAAGTAATTAAAGTTCAGATTGAGAAATGGTCGTGCTCTAGAATCCTTATAAAATAAGAATTCTATTTGTTTTTAAAATTTCGGTTTTAATTTATTACTACTAATAAATGTATTTCGCACAAAACTCAAATATTGAAGGGTTATGCAATAGGTAACAAATATACTATAATAGGTAAAAAGTATAATCTTGATACCATATTCTTTTGATGAAAAGTGTTATTTGAAATTTGGTACTTATCAAAATTGCACTAATACTGAGCAATTTTAATACCAATACTGTAGAAAGAATTATCCTACGGTCCCTCAAAACCGATATGTACCGGAGAAAATTAATTGATAGTGCTAAATTTTGACTATCAATACTGACCAGTAATAGCATCATAGTGATTCTAATTGGAACCGTGGTGGCTCAAGCAATAAAGCGCTTGCCTCCCAATGTTAACTGGGTTCGAATCCAAGCGATAGCAGATCTATACGAATTCTGCATCTGGCTGGCACCGATCACAGTGCTGACGTAAAATATCATCAGTGGTAGATGGATCGTCTATGGAGTCCGACTAACTGCCGTCAGACTAACCATAGAAGGTTTTCGTAGTTTTAATCTCCAAGTAACGTAAATGCGAGTTAGTTCCATTAAAAAGTATTCCACTGAGGCAAATTTCTCCCAATACTTGATCCAGGAGCTCCCTTGTCTTCTGGATTGGGTTCAAAGTTGCTACGCTACGGAGTTGAACATTGCTAATTGTAAACTTAAAATTGGCTCGACTGTTCAAAGATGCAGTGAAAGAAAAAAAGTTATTCTGAATATAGTCAATCTCTAATCTGATGGGATAGACTAACAAAAAAACGTGTTTAACTTAATTTTATATCGTAAAGACACCAAAGAGGGCAACAAATAATAATAAATAAAAAAATAACTGAAATTATTTTCGCATCGTTAATTGTGTCTGCATACACCTTCCATTTGTATGCATGATTTCGTATTGTTGACCAGAACTGATTTATTAATTATTTTCTTTCTTTCATTCACGAAGAATGGGTCATCAGCTAGCATGTTTTTAATTTTTATAGCATATTTAATACACTAGGTGGCATTGCTCACCATCACCCGAAATTGCTACCCATTCATCTAAGTTTACGTCGATATTCACCATAAAAATACCGAACAGTTTGGTTTCAAAATGTACAATTAGTGTTGCTTTCTTTAAAAACATTTTGTCAATATGCTAATCGTAACGACGACAATCATCTGTACTTGAAAGAAAATTTAACCAAAGGAATATAGATTGTATGATTTAATGAGAACTAATTTTACTCGTTAACGAGACTTCAAACCACTTCAAACAGGAAACGGTTTTTATCTCTATGATATAATTTTTTTTTAACTTTTAAAAATTTAAATATAAATGTCAAGATTTATATCTGGCAACATGTAATCCCTCTTTCTCTCTTTGCCACTTTTGATTAACGTCTAGTCGAGCACACTTATGAAAAAAAAAAAGAATTCTCGTGAAGGAAAATTAATTTATTTACAGCAATGGATAAATAGTTAATATTTAAAAAAAAGAGAAACAATTCTTTTTTTAAAAATAAAAAAAAACACTTAAATTTGCAAACGTGTCGTGTTAAAATCTCGATACAAAAATCGTTTTAAATTTACCCCCCCCCCCCCAAAAAAAAAATGTCTTTCAGCGCGTTAAATTTTGGCTCTCATTTCAGAACACTGCACATTGACTATTTTTTAACAAGTTTAACCACTAGTAATTCTTATCCAAATACTCTAATTTTAAATAATTTTATTTAGATGTATTCTCAGCACATTTTTCTACAGCTCATTGTAATTTCGAATTTTTAGATCTTATAGTTTTCGAGCACTAAACCAAAATGCTACATAAAAAAGTGAGAAAAAATTCGAGAAAAGAGCACTTAAAATAACAATAACATTCAAACAAATTTCAATTTCAATGAAATGGTTCAATGTTTGTAAACAGAACAAATCTGACGTGTTTTCAGCCATTGCATCCCTGTGGCTTGCTATGGCAGTTTTTCCAGCAAGTTTAACAGTTAATAATTATGGAATATTATTTTTTTTATTTCGTTGTACTCCCTATGCATTTTCCAATAAACCGCAGTATTTTCAAGTTTTTAAGTTTAGTAGTTTTTGAGTACAAAACAAAATGTTACTGTAAGTTGAACACAGCAGCGACGGTACTTTTTCAATATTGAGAGGTTCATCCCTGCTTTATAAATCGAACCATTTCTACCGATTCATGCTCATTCCATATTTTATTACTTTATTTTTCTTTCATAACGCTATTGGTGATCACGTGACTCCACAGAGTCTCTTAAATATCGGCAGGTGTGTCAGGAATTATAACGATCTGACTCATTCCTGTT